AAAAAGAAAAAAGGAGGGTACAACAGTAATGAAGGGGACCAGGGCCTGGTCTATTCTGGTGGAAAGACCTTGATGGTGGGAGAGATGGTAGAAAGAGGAACTTGGGTCTCCCATCATTCTGGGTGGGGACTTTCCTTGAGGGAAACATTTCACACTATGGGAAGAAGGCCCCTTCCATTGGCTTTCCTCCTCCCCTCTCTGCTGACCCTGTCTGGGCTCCTAGCTACATGCTAGGGATTGTCTGGAGCTGGACGCAAGGCTCTGGGAAAGACAATCCCAATTAATTAATCAACATGTTTTCATTAAGTAGTCACTGTGTGCTAACTCTGGAGATACAAGAAAAAGCAAAACGTGGTCTCTGCCCTCAAAGACCATCCATTCTAAAGGGGGAGACATGATTTTGCACAAGAGTCATTGGAAGGTGATCTCAGACAGGAAGACCTCAGCTTGGGGGGATGGGTCAGAGAGGTCCCCTGATGGAGCTATTGTTTGAGCTGAGTCAGAGATGAGGAGGAAGAACCTTCCAAGTGTGAGGGACCCCCAGTGCAGAGACCTAGAGAGAGGAGAAGGTAGCATTGTGTGCGAGGTGTGGCAAGCAGGCCAGCGTCATTGGATGGGTAGCTGATATGTGGAGGGAGTAACATGTAAGAAGACGAGAAATGGAGGAAGAGGGCAGGTTGTAAGGGGCTTTAAACAGCCAGGGAAGGAGTTCATAGTGAATGCTAGAAGCAGCAGAAAGTCATTGGAGTTTACTGAGTATGACGGTGGGGAGGAGGAGGTGACATGGTCAAATCTACATGTTAAGAAAATAATTTTTGCAACCATGGGGAAGATAGCTTGGGGTGAGGATAAACTTGAGGCAGGCCATTGTAATAGTCTAGGTGAGAGGTGAAGAGGACTTGAACTGGGATGTTGGCTGGAGGAGGGAAGGGGGGCACATGCAGGAGAAGAGAAAGAGATCACAAAATTTAGCAACTGATTGGGTATGGGGTGAATGAAAGAAGAGATGAGCATGACTCTGAGGTTGTGGGCCTGGGTCACTGCGGTCCCCTCCACAGTGATGGGAAAGTGAGGGAGAGGGGAAGGTTCTGGGGAAAAGATGAATTCTATTTTGGGCCTGTTGAGTTTGAGATGCCTGTGGGGTATCCAATTCAAAATGTCCAATGGGCAGTTGATGAAACTGGATTGGAGCTTGCGACAGAGACCATGGCTGGATGGTCTCTGATGAGATCACCAAGTGATGTGGGATAGAGAGAAAAGAGAACCTAGGACAGAGCCTTGGGGGACATTCATAGTGGGCATGACATAGATGAAGATTCAGGGAAGGATTGAGAAGGAGCAGTCAGGAGGAAAATTGAAGCGAGAGCATTGTCATGAAAATTCATCGAGGGGAGTATCTTGGAGGAGAATCTGGGCAGGGATGTTCACTGCTGAGGAGGGGTCAAGAAAGAGGATTGAGGAAAGGCCATTGGACTGGGCACTTAGACATGTCTGGTTCACTTTGAAGGGAGTAGTTTCATTTGAATCAGAGAATCAGGGTTGAATTCAGAGTTCAGAAGCCAAATTACAAGAATTTAGAAGGTAGGAGTGGGCAAAATGGAAGCCTTAAGTATAGATAGTTTTTTTAGCTGAGAAGGGGAGGTACAGGACAATAGCTATGGGGATGGCCAGATCAAGGGAGGGTTTTTGAAAGTGGGGGGAGATATGGGTATGTTTGTGGGCAGCAGGGGAGGAGCTGGTACATAGGGAGAGATTGAAGATTGGAGAGAGAGGAGAGAGATTGTCAAGGGGACAATCCCCTGGAGAAGAGGGGGTAGATGGAATGAAATCAAGGAGACATGTAGAGGATTTGGTCTTGCCAAGTCACATTCGCAGAAGCTGGAGTGAAGGAGAAAGAGGGGGAGAATATCAGAGGAATGTGAGAAGGGGAGGGGGGGACGAGAGGGAGCTGTCACCAATGGGCTTATTCTTTGGGGTGAAGTTGGGGGTGAGGTAAGAGTAGTAGTATTGCCTTGTTCCAAGGGGGGCCCAGCTGATATTAGCTACCACATATTTGTAGTGACCCAGGATTCCTGATTTTCTAACGATTGTACTCAACAGCATGTCATTAGGATCAGAGGAGGCAGATGGTGGGGATAATTCAAGGTTGGGGTTTGGGACAATATGATCAACAATAGGAGAAGGGAATAAAAGATCTGAGAGTAGCCCAGAATTAAGCTGGTTTTAGCCTTGAACCCAGGCTAAAATGGGCAGATCCCACTTACTGTGTGACCTGGGGAACACGTCTGCCCTCTCTGTTCCTCAACCGCTATGTGCAAGGCACTGTGCTAAGTGCTGGGGATACAAAGAAAGGCAACCCCCCAAAAACCCAAACAATAAACACAGTCCCTTCTTTGAAGAGCTCACAGTCTAGTGGGGAAGATGAAGTGCCAGCAGCTACATACAACACAAGATATAGAGAAAATTGGGAGGAATCTCAGAGAGAAGGTGAAGGAGAACCAGGGAAAACTTCTTGTGGGAGATGGGACTTTAACTGAGGCCTGAGGGAAGCCAGGAAAGCCCAGGGCCGGAGACAAAGGAGAGGAGTTCTCCTGCTTCAGCTTGCAAAGGAAGGGGCTGGACAAGCGTTTCCTCCCCTCACTGGGAGTCTATGTTCTGTAGTCAAAGGCTGCTTCCAGCTCTAATGGTCTGTGGTTCCAAGACAAGCCTAAAGATACTACTACTACTACTACTGCTACTGCTACTCCTACTGCTACTGCTACTGCTGCTGCTACTACTGCTACTACTACTGCTACTGCTGCTGCTACTACTACTTCTACTACTACTATTACCACCACCCCACTATTACTACTACTACTACTATCACCACCACCACCACTATTACCACTACCACCACCAACACCATTACTACTACTACTATTACTACTACTACCATACCACCATTACTACTATCACCACCACTGTTATCACTACCACCATCACCACCACCACCATTACTCCTCTTCCTCCTCCTCCTATTAGCTGACATTTATATAACACTTAAAGGTTTCCAAAGGGCTTTACAAACCTAATTTCATCTAAGCCTGACAACAACCTGGGAAGTAGGTGCTGGTTATTATCCATATTTTACAAATAAGGAAAGAGGGCTAAGGGAGGTCAAGTGATCTGCCCAGGGACAAACAGCTGGTAAGTGTTCTGAGGTAGGACTTGAACTCAGGTCTTCCTGACTCTAAGTCCAGCACTCTCTCCACTGCGATCGTGGTCCCCTCCACAGGAAGAGAAAGTGAGGGAGAGGGGAAGGTTTGGGGGAAAAGATGGATTCTGTTTTGGGCCTGTTGAGTTGGAGATGCCTAGATGCACAATAGACCACCCAGCTTTGCACCCCAAGTCTCCTAGTCTCCAGTCCCACATTGTGCCCCAAGAGCCCACATTCACAAGACCCTCGCTCTGAATTCGCATGTCCTCCCTCGGTGCCCTCTGGACAGTCACACCCACTCCTGGACACTCTGACTGTCAGAGTGCGGCTCATCTGCGGGCAGGCGCTGTCACCCACAGGCTTAATTAAGGTCACCCACTCAGACAGCGGTCAGCAGTGCCTGGCACTCAGCGCTTACCCACCTGGGCCGCAGGGCGACCGGGCCTGGGGGGTGAGTTTTTCTACTTTTGTTAAAGCCTTTCTGTCTCCCTGGGCCAGCGGTAAGAAGAAGGCTGCCTTTGATATGCAGATAGAGGCTGCCCCACTTCTAGGGAGCTGGGCTTTGAAGGGGAGGTCTGGGGAAAGTGAATCTGGTGAAAAACTACGAAAGTCTCAGAGAGGGCCCAGGAGGCCAGAGGGTGGGGAGGCCGGCCTGGTGGGGAGGGAGCTGTCCACTGATCTGGAGGAGGAGCGTCTGCCTCCAGGCAGCTGGACGCAATAGCATCTCATGCTTCCGAGGGCTCTCAGAGCTAGCCAGCTCCAAACAAGGCAGTACCAGCCTGTGTGAGGGGGAAGAGGGGAGGATGGAAAGCAAAGGCCTTCAGGGAGTGGGGAAGACAGAAAGGCCCCCAGTCCCGTGGTGTATCAATCAATCAGCATTTATTAAGCACCTACTATGTGCCACGCTGTGCTAAGCACTGGGGATACAGAAAAAGGCAGAAGACAGTCCCTGCCCTCGAGGAGCTTACAATCTAATGGGGGAGACAACATGAAACAAATATGTACTGAGCAGGCTGTGTGCAGGATAAATAAGAAACAATCAGCAAAGGGAAGGCACTGGAATTAAGAGCAGTTGGGGAAGGCTTCTTGGAGGAGGTGGGATTTTTAGATGGGCCTTAAAGGAAGCCAGGGAGGTCAGTTGTGGGCATGGAGAAGGGAGTGTGTCAGAGGAGAAGGAACACTGGACTTAGCGATTCCAATTGTGCCTGTGCCACTTGCAAAGCTGTGTGACCTTGGGCAAGTCTCTTGCCTGCTATAGGCCTCACTTTCCTCATCTCTCCAAGGAGGGGGTTGAGCTGGCTGACCTCTAAGGCCCTTTCCTGCCCCCAAATCTACAAGACGAGTCCCTAGAGCAGTGTTGGGCTCAGGAGATGGCTCCACATCCATCCTTCCCTACAGTGCCCTCAGGTCCTGGGGCAGCTCCGAGACCACCTAGGCCAGGGGTAAGTAGTTGTGGAAAACCCTCAGGATCCTCAAGGGCAGTGCAGGGGGCCTCTGTCTGCCCTCCCTCATCCCAAAACCACTCTGCCTATTCCCACTGCCTTATTCTCATATCTTATTTTATGCAATGGACATGTTCATAAAAAGTTGTACAAAAAGAATTGTTTGTAAATCAGAACTCATCATAGTTACCCCAAAGGAGCTTGTTCTTAGAAGCAGCTCCCCAACAAGCCCCTTTTATAGGAGTTTTGTGGAGCAAAAGCCCAAGAGAAAAGCAATCCTTTGTAAATAGAAAATTTTATATATTCATTCAACAAACATACTATTAAATATTTCCTTCGAGCATGGGACAGGGGTGGGGGGTGGGGGGGTGGGGTGAATACAAAGAAGGATGAGTCATGGTCCCTGTCCTCCCCATGTAGTCTTATAAAGGAGCTAAAACTAAAAAGACATTTAGTTTCTTTAGAAATACAATTATGTTTTTACCCTCACAATAATGGGAAGAAATTGAGGAAGCCTTCCACCATATAGGGAGGACTCTCTTTGCCAAATATTTGGAAGGGCCTGGCCAGTCACATGGGATGGTTGCTGACCTGCTGCCATGTTGGGTAAGGCTGCCAAGAGCCACCACCAGGTATTGGAAGGATTGTTTGTCTGCCATTTATGGAGGGTTTGAAGGTTTTCCAACCCACTTTTATACACAGGATCTGATCTGATCCTCCCAACATCCCTGGGAAGTGGAGAAGATGGGTATTCCTGTCCCCATTTCACAGATGGTGAAAATGAGGCCTGGAGAGGTGAAGTATGGAAGGTGAAATTCAGATCCAGGTCACTCCCTCCTCACCCCAAGAGCAGAGTGCTTGCCTTTCTAGATGAATGCTACAAAGGCCTGACCGAAGAACTCTGCAACTTCAGAGGAAGGAAAGATGTCATTGGGTTGCGGTGGACACATCATGGAAGGCTTCATGGAAAAGGTGGCAGTCTTTCCGGGCCATGGGTTGGATTTTGACAGGTGGTAATATAGGGGAGAGGCTGAAAGAGAGAGAAGGAGGGCATGTTAGTGTAGGGAATGGGTGAGCAGAGGCCAGGAAGGGAATGAGCATTTACACAGCACCTGCTATGTGCCAGGCACCAAGCTTGACATTTGATTCTCATAAAGACCCTGCAAGGGAGGTGCTTTGTTAGTTTTATTTTACAGTTGAGGAAATGGAGGCAAACAGAAATGAAGAAACATGTCTAGCTAGGAAGTATCTGAGGCTGGATTTGAACTCAGGTCTTCCTGACTCTGGGCTCAGTGCCCCCACTCTGCCATCTAGACACTTCCTGGAGGCGTAAAGCACTGGCCATGTCTGAAGACCAATGAAATCAGCTTGGAAAGGTAGGTTGGAGCCATAACTCAGAGGACTTGAATGCCAGGATAAAGATATCACTGATGCTTTGTTTTAGTGTTAGGTGGTTTGTTTTTTTCAGTAGAGAAGGATGGATGATTAGGGGTGTGTGTGTGTGTGTGTGTGTGTGTGTGTGTGTGTGTGTGTGTGTGTGTGAAGGTCGGCTTATTTTTAAAAGTGGCACGTGATCAACATGCATAGTTGCTGGGGTGGGGCCAGGGGGACCTGGCAAAGAATGATTTTTGTTTTGTGAGGGGGTAGCACTTAGGGAGACTGGTTAGGAGGCTGGTGCAGCCCCAGGCAAGAGAGGATAAAAGCTTAAAGCAGCTTTGATGGAAGGAAAATGGACTGGAGCCATGGGAACCACAGAACTAGAGCTGGAAGCCACTCCAGAGGCCATCGAGTCCTGCCTCCTTGTTTTACAGATGGGGAAACTGAGGACAAAGGAGGTGAATGAAATGATTTGGTAAAGGTGACACAGTAAGCATTCGAGGTAGGGTTGGGACCCCAGATGCCGAGCCAGTGCTGCTATTGCTGCAGAGATGACTGATGATGAATTGGGGGGGGGGGAGACAGAGAGAGAGAGACAGAGACAGAGAGAGAGAGAGAGGGAGACAGAGAGATACAGAGAGACAAAGAGGAGGGGGGAGAGAGAGAAGGGAAGAGAGGGAGAGAGAGAGAGAGAGAGAGAGAGAGAGAGAGAGAGAGAGAGAGAGAGGGAGTGGGAGAGAGAGACAGAGAGATAAAGAGGAGGGGGGAGAGAGAGAAGTGAAGAGAGGGAGAGAGAGAGAGAGAGAGGGGAGAGAGAGAGAGAGAGAGAGAGAGAGAGAGAGAGAGAGAGAGAGAGAGAGGGAGGAGAGAGGAGAGAGAGAGAGAGAGAAGAGAGAGAGAGAGAGAGAGAGAGGGAGGGAGTGGGAGAGAGAGACAGAGAGACAGAGAGACAGAGACAGAGAGACAGAGAAAAGGGAAGAGAGGGAGAGACAGAGAGACATAGAGAGAGAGACAGAAAGAGAGACACAGACACAGAGACAGACAGAGAGACAGAGAGGAGATACAAAAAGACAGAGAGAGAAAGGAGACAGACAGAATGAGACTCCTGATCCTGGGTCCCGGCCGCAGGGAGGGGGTGCAAGCAGAACTGATAATCAGAGTTTGGTTTCCTCCAGCTGCCCTCGCACCACGCTGTGACCCCATAAGGGGGAGCCCCTGACCCCGTCCCCGGGGGCCCCACAAGCTGGGGGCTGGATCCTGCACAGCTGCTGCAGATGTAGATGAAAAAGTGCCTCCCACTCCTTGCTCTAATGGAGCTCATTAGGAGCTGTGCAAACAAGCGGGGGCCCAGGAGAGAAGGACGGAAGACTCCACCCCCCCCCCCCCACCTTGACTTGGAGGGGAGGAGGGGTGGGGGAGAGAGAGGCTGGAAAGCTGGGGGGTGGGGTGGGGATGGCAGACGCAGCTCCACAGGGGATACAGGGGAAGGAAACTCCTCACACTTCAGCGCAAACATCATCCAGGCCAAACAGTTGTTACTGGAGGTCCTGCATGTAAACAATGGTGGGGCTGCAGCCAGGATGTACGGTCAGTCCCCCACCCCGCTTAGGAAAGCCTACCTGGGAGGGACTATGCTTGAGCAAGAGAAGCAGAGGAGGAGACTCGTTCCTGCGCTGGATCACCTGAAGAGAAAGGGGGAGGAGGGAAGGCAGTTCACAAGTGACTGGGCTTATCCCCCGCCCCCCCCCCCCCCCCCCCCCCCCCGTCAACATTCTATGGTCTGTGTCCTGGGCTCACTGTCAGCTCTGACATGCTATGTTCTAACTTCTCTTCTCACATCTCTCTTAGCTACACATTCTGCGCTCTAGGGTCCCTTCCAGCTCTGACGTTATGGGTTCTAAGGCCCCTCTCAGTTCTGACATTCTGTATTCCAAGATCTCTTGCAGCTCTGACGGCCTGCCTTCTGAGCTTCCTTCCAGTTCTGACATTCTGTGTTCTTAGATCCTTTCCCTGTTCAGACATTCTGTATTCTAAAGTCCTTCCCTGCACTTAGCTCTGACAGTCTACACCCAAAAGTCCTCTTGAACTCCGAAGTCTGTGATTATGAACCACCATCCAGAGTGGCTAGAGAACCTGAAGTAAACTGACAGAAAGCATCAGCCTGACTTCTCTTCCCAGCACCCTCCAGAGTATTTTGTATTGAGGAGGGGGCCCATAGGAGCATAGAGTTAGAGCATGTAAGGATCTAGTCCAATAGTGTCAAATTCAAATACAAATGGATCCCTTCTAGCCACATATCTACTTAGAAAATCACAAATTAACATTATCTATGTTGTATTTTTAAAACATTTTAATAAACATTTCTCAATTACATTTTCTGGTTCATGTCTCACTCAGGAGTTTTGCATGCATGATACCTCTGATAGTACAGCTGCTTCACTTCTCAGGTAAGGAAACTGCGGCCCAGGCCAGTTAAGTAACTCGCCCAAACGTCACGTAGGGGGGATCTGAACTTCTGACGTCAGAGCCAGTGTTCTTTTTACTGGACCACTAGACGTGGCTTCTGAGTGAGCTCATAATCTCTGCCAGCTCCAAGGTTAGAAACTAAGAGCCAGCCTCAGAGTGCTAACCACACCCAGGGGCTTCAGAGACCAGGGATTCTTAACCCCTCCCTCTCTGGGGCCCTTAGGCAGCCCATGTGAATCTGGGTAGGGAGGCTCCAAAAACAGCCCCCCGGGATGGGCATCCTTCCCTAGCATTCCTCGGGGGCTGCAGCTGGAGACGAGATTGGAGCCCTGAGAAATGATTCTTCTGAGAAGAAGGCAGGGGGGGAAGCATGGTCTTAGGTGAGCCGTGTGGCTGAGTTAATATTGCTGAGACAACTGGAATCTTGGCATTTTCTGACATGTGTATTTAATGGAAAGTCTCATTTGAGCAGTAAAAAAAAAAGCCTGGCCACTTGAGGCTTCTCCTTTGAAATTATATATATGTGTGCATATATATGTATATATATGTGTGTGTGTATGTATATGTGTGTATATTACATATATACATACTTACATGTACGAGGGGTTTTGGAGGTGGTGCTTTCGGACTGTGATCCCTGCAACCTGGGAGACTGAGGCACGAGGATCACTTGAATTCTGAGCTGCGGTGTGCTAGACCTATCAGGCGTCTGAATCCATGTCTGGTGCCAATCTGATGAGCCCCCTGGGGGCAGGGATGCACCAGGCTGCCCAAGGAGGGCCACAGTGACTCCCATTGGAAGGAGAGGAGGTCAAAGCTTCTGGACCAATCGGCAGTGGGATTTAGCCAGTGAGTGGATCACTTGGTCTCATTTTTTAAAGACCAGATCCTCGATTTCATTAGTGCAGGGAGCTTCCAGTGAGGAATTTCACTCTACCAGTGCAGATAAACACTCTGAAACTTAGAGACTTAGAGGGTTGTCTTAGAGAGTGGTTAAGTGACTTGGCCGGGGTCACACAGCCAGGTTGTATCAGAGCCAGGATTTGAACCTAGAACTCTGAGGCCAGCTTTCTATCTACTATGGGGCATTGCCCATCTATCTATTCTTTTCTGTGCCAGGGACCCCTTTGGCAGCCTGTAAAGCCTACGAACCTTTTCTCAACATACTCTTCTTAGGTGCATGAAACATATCACATAGGATTACAAAGGAAACCACTAATATTGAAATACAGATATAATTTTTTTTCCTAGCCAAGTTCAACGCCCTTGGGTGTGTGTGGACCCTAGCTTAAGAACCCTGATCATTTTATAAGGAAGTCAGCAGAGGTTCAGATAAATGAAGTTACTGACCAAAGCTTGCAGAGGTGGTTGGTAGCAGAGGCAGCTCTGATTCCAAGGGCAGTAGTGACCTTTCTATCACCCCATGCTATGCTTTGGCCTTAAACCAGGTGCAGGGCCAATGTTCTGCATCACAGGGACAGAAGACATGGGACCTGAGGCTTTGTAGCATATTCTTTCTAATATAAGAGTCTCTAATTTGGCCATTGTAGGAATTGGCTGCTGGGACACCTTTAATGGTTCTCACGGAGTATGCCATGACCTGTCCAATGACATGCATACATATGAGTCTCTTGACTCTCCAGGGGAATTACCAACTCAATAGTTCACATCCCATGATTCTTCATGGCAAGAATACTCCTGTGTCCTGAGTGAAAAAAAATACTGGAGAGCCACTAATGTATTGGATAGTTTCTCCAAAAGCTACCCTCCCTGAAACCTTCAGCCAAGCTCCCGATGAGCCCCCCTGAACTTCAGTTGTGCTGGGCAGTAAATCAGCAGTCCACCATTGGACGTCAGCGCTTGATGCCTTCCCAGCTTGGTATGATCTGCCCTACTTTAAACTCTTCCAGCTTTTGAGGGTCCAATGTCTAAGTAAGTTATGCCAAACATTAGCAGGTAAATCCCACAGCACCTTCTTGTAGCATGGCATGCATACAGCAGAAATGCCATATGCTGGCTTTCTTGAGCCTTCTGCTCAGGCCTCAGGGTTCCCACCCAACGTGTTCACTAGCTGAGGTTAAAACACTTGGGCTGCCTCACTCCCAGAAGGCGTTCTAGTTCCAGGCTTCTCGATTCCTGCCAAAGCTGACACCTCCTTAAGTAGCTCGTTCCCAAAGCCTCTACCTTGGTCAGAGTGTGTCCTGGCAGGGAAATCATAAGCCAGAGGTTTTTTAACCTTGTTTCTGTTATGGACTCCTTTAGCAGACATCTGGGGAAATCTACAGGCTCTTTCTCAGAATCCTATTTTTAAATGCGGAAAATAAAATGCATAGAATTCCAAAGGAAGCTAATTATATTGAAATAAAGAGATAATGTTCTTCTGGTCCAAGTTTACAGACCCCCTGAAATCTATATAGGGACTCCCATGTTAAGAATGCCTGCTATGAATTGAGAAACACATCTCCCAGGATACCTTAGCAACTTTTCTTTCCTGGCTGGGTATGCCTCTACCTACTAGGTGAGATGGTCTCACTACCAGATTTGAAACCAGATGATCTGGATTCAAATTTCACCTCTGCTACTTACTACCTACCTGTGTGGTCTTGGGACACATCCTTCTTCCGTCTGGGCCTCAGTTTTCTCATCTGTAAAATGGGAGGGTTGGACTTGGTTGCCTGGGTGGTTTCTTCCAATTTGGACCATAATTCCATTTCTAACCCAAATTCAGTTTCTAATATAATCTAACCCAACCTGAACTAATCTAATCTTCTTACCTACTTGCAGACATCACAAATCTATGCACAGAAGCTTCAGCGGTTTGCTGGTGTTTATCCTCACTCTACCCCTATTCCTCTTTCCCTTTTCCCATTTCTCATACATGTTGGGAGACCCTGTGGAGAGGAAGCTTCCTACTTCTCACAGTGGACTTCTGCCACCATCTTGGCACAATAGAATGTATTTTATTTTTGCTCTAGACAGAACCTGCCCTTGACCCAAATGTCAGTGATTGAGGGGGAGGAATTCTAATGGAACCCTAGTCATGACTTTATTGCCCTCAAAGATTCATGAGGGATGAGGGAGTCCTTTGGTCACTGATGCAGCTCAGACCCCTCCATGTATTTGGAGATGCCTTCTTGAGATGCTCAAATTGAGAAAATTCATTTCACTGCTGGTCAGCCTTCTGGTGACAAGCCTCATGATCTTGGCTTTGCTGGTCCTTCAACAGTGGGCACACAGTTTGCCACTGGGCACAAAGACCTCCCAGACTGATAGGACCATCTAGCACTTCCTCAGTATGGCCACGGTCTTTGAGAATCTAGGAGCATCTCCAAGCCATATGAGTAGAGGAGGTCATTGGAGGAACAATGTTATTGTTATACCACTGAGTCTCAGCTTCTTTATCTTTGAAAAGGGGATAATAAGAGCTTTTATCTCACAGGGTTGTGGCAAGGCTCAAGTGAGGTAGAGATTGGCATTTGTGTGGAGCAGTGGATAGAGAGCTAGACCTGGAGTCAGGAAGACCTGAGTTCAGATCTGGCCTCAGACACTTCCTAGCTGTGGGACCCTGGGCAAGTCACTTCACCCTGTTTCCTCATCTATAAAATGAGCAGGAGAAAGAAATGGCAAACCACTCCAGTATCTCTGCCAAAAAAACCTCCAATGGGGTCATAAAGAGTTGGACACAACTGAAAAGGTCAGAACAGCAACAAAAGGGAGAATATTCCAGAGTGGAAGGAATGGTGTGAGTAAAAAGCATGGAGGAGCTGGGAATTGGTATGAGCTGGCCTGCCAACTCTTCCTTCCCAGAGGCTTGTTTGCATATTCTTCATTTTATTGATTTTCGAGCTAGAAGAGTTCTTAGAGATGCTCTACGTGAATAGACACCCTCCTCACCTCCTCACCTCCTCACCTCCTCCACCTTCCTTTGAAGCCCAGTTAGGTGCTGCCTTCTATTCAAGGTCTTCCCTGACACCCCCACTGGTTAGTGGGCTCATTCCCTTAAATTACTTCCCATATATCTTGTATTGACTTGTTTAGTAAGATAATAGATGGGGCTGATTTACACTTACTTGTAGGTAAAAACTTACTTGTTGCTATTTTCAAAATTTATCGTCCTGAATTCTTAAGCAATCCAGAGGTATGTTAGACAGTTCTCATTAGCTAACAAAATGGAAATTTCTTTTTAATTAATTAATTGGTTGGCTAGAACTTTAATATGCATATTTAGTAAACTGGAGAAATTACTTTCTCAGTATTAGTTACTCACATACAATTTCATAACAAATGAAATCAATCATAAAGCAAAGACACAGATAACTCTTTACAGTATTTTAGCTATGAAAAAAGACCTTAACCAGAGTCATTTCAAATCTTCACTATAACAGAACAATATCTGACCCCTCTTCACCATTCAGTTCTTGCCAGATACAATTAAAATCTCTTAAGAATTTTCTTCATATTTCAAGGTAAGAGTTATACTCAATCTCTCGGTAAACAAGCTTGGTTAATCTTTTTTTTTGTTTTTGTCCTATCTTCAGTCATCCAAGGAAGCAGTTTGTCTAGAATACACAGTACTTACCATCTCTTCCTATGCTCTGCAAGGAATTCTCCTTATAATATTCTTTTGTATCAAAATAATTAAGACAGTTCCAACAAGGAAAAAGTTTATCCTCACCTTCTTCCCCTCTGTTTTCGCCACAGGTTCTTCATAGATCAAAGATGAAACACACATATCCGTTCCCCCCTCATAGAGAGAAACTCCTTAAAGTGAGATGCCTTTTTTTTTTTTTTAATGGAAGTCCATTGGCGTCACAAACTGCCTTTTCCAAAACATTCCATTTGCCTCTTAAAGACACAGTGATGGCATTTGTAGTCTCTGTGAAAGATCCTGGTAAAACAGGCACTAATTACACTTGGATCATAGCTCATGAATCTAGACTTGGAAGAGATCTCAGAGGTCATCTAACCCAACTCTGTCAGGGAAGTTATTTGCCTGAGGTCATACAGGTGAATGTCAGAGGCAGGACATTTATCTGTGGGTGGCTGGGTGGTGCCATAGTGCACCGAGCACCGGGCCTGGAGTAAGGGAGACTCATCTTCATGAGTTCAAGTCCAGCCTCAGACACTTACGAGCCGTGTGACCCTGGGCAAGTCACTTGATCTTGTTTGCCTCAGTTTCCTCATCTGTAAAATGAGGTGGAGAAGGGAATGGCAAACAGCTGTAGTATCTCTGCCAAGAAAACCCCAAATGGGGTCATGAAGGCTGGTCAGAACTGAAATGACTTCACAACAACAATAAAAGCTCCTCTAAATCAAGGTCTGTTTCATTTCTTTTTTGATATTCTCAGTGGTACCTGAGCACATAATAGATATTTGTTGAGATGAAATGAAAATAAATCTAGTCCACCCGCACCCCTCCCATTTTATAGATGGAGAAGCTGAGGCCCAGAATGGGGGGAGGCCAGTCATTTGTCCAAGGTCACATGTCCAGGTAGTGGCAGAACTGGGTCCAGAACCTGGTTTCCCTAACGCCAAGTCCAGTGTGCTTTCTCCTACAGCATTGTTTTTCTCATTTAGGAGCACAGGATTTAGAACTGAAAATATTATTTAGTCCAGTGATCGTTTTCTAAATGTGAAAAACTGAGGCCTGGTGAGGGAAATGCTTAAGACCTTCTAAGTAGAAGGGTAGGATTTGAATCTGGATCATAAACACATAAATCTAGGGCTAGAAGGGACATTAGAGGCCCTTGAATCCAGCCCCCTCATTTCAACAGATGAGGAAAGTGAGGCCCAGGGAGGGGAAATTATTTCTCAAGGCCACACAAGGAAGTTAGGAGCAGAGCTGTAGATTTGAACCCAGTTCCACGACTGCAAACCTGGTGCTCCTTCCACCACTGCATTCACTCATCTTTGTTTATTTTCTTCTTCTCTCATTTGGAGACAGGCTTGATATAACGGGTCTTACTTCTCAGGCCCGTTCATCAATCCCATTTCCTGCCCCTCAGCTTTGTCATCACCCAGTGTCTCTCTAGGCCATCTCTGATACATCCGTCATTTCTCCATCATCCCCTTCCTGGTCCTTGTCCTGGATTCTGGACATCAAAATCACACCTTTGCTACTGCCTCCTCCTAGAATTTCTCTCAGATCCTCATCACCCTGGAACGTTCATCTAAGCATCACTGCGGCCCTCCTTGACTGGAATAGCCCTCGGTAAGGTCTGGCGCCTTCTCTCATTGGTGAGCTCCTGCTGGGGTCTCTACTTTATGAAGTGTTTCTTCCTACCCCTGTTCCTGGTTTCTAGACATCAAGACCATGGTCCCTGCTGGGTACCTCCATGTGCCCCTCAATCTTTTCCCCTCCATTTTGTGTTGTGTCTTCCTCCATTAGATGGGCAGAGTCTACCTTTCTGGGGGGTTGTATTTTTTTTGGGGGGAAACAATCAGGGTCACACAGCTAATAAGTGTCTTAGGCTGAATTTGAATTCAGGTCCTCCTGACTCCAGGGCTGGGAGAGGGGGTTGTATTTGTATCTCCAATGTTGGTACAACATCTGGCACATAGTAAGCACTTAATAAACGCTTGCTTCCTTCTTTCCAGTCAGAGCCCTTCCGTGTCCTCGTCCTATCCAGCCCCTCCACCACCTACTGGCTTCACCTGTGACCTGCAGGCTCTTATCTGCTCCTTGCAGCTTTCCCCATAGTTCTGACTATAGCTCTATGTCTGTTTCCCTTCCACTCTTCTCCCCTCCCTTCTCTTCCTTTTGCCATCCACTTAGATTTTTGGATTCTTCCTTTTTTTTTCTTTTTTTGGTGAAGCAGTTGGGATGTCAAGTGTCTGAGGCTGGATTTGAACTCAGGTCCTCCTGACTCTAAGACTGGAGCTCTATCCACTGTGCCACCCAGCTGCCCCTGGATTCCTCTTTCTTCAGGCCAGTTGATGGTTGTTTCTCTTCTCTCACCCCAACCCCTCCACTGGTCAGGATAGGTTGTCTCTGGAAGCTAGCATTAGGGCTCTAGCTGGCCTTAGAACATTGAACACAATTAGTGCCAGAGCTGGATGGGGCCTTAGAAGCTATTTAGTTCCCTCTGCTTATTTTTTTGATGAAAGAAGGGCAGGAGCAGTGGATTGTAGAGGAGATAGACTTGAATCGTCACCCAGGAGATGTTGGGCACATTCTTAATGTCTCTGGGTCTCTGCTTTCTCGTTTGTAAAGCAGACCAGAGTTAATTTCATTACAACGGAGATTGCTCCATTTTTTTTGGGTACAGTGCCTGGAAGTGTCTGATATACAGTAGGCACTTAATACATGTTTGTTGTTTGATGCCTGTAGTATTTGCCAGGCACTGTGCTGGCCACTGGGGATGTAAAGACAGAAAGAAAGAGTCCACAACCTCAAAGAGATTACATCTTATAGGTCCTCTAGTCCTTCATTTTTCAGATGAGGAAACTGAGGCTCGGAGAAGTTAATTGAATTAGCCAGGAAGTACATGGAAGAGTTAGGATGGAAAACTCCAAATCCTTCATGGCCGCCCTCCCTTCTCCCTGCTTTGTTCAATCTCTGTTTGTTCCCCCAGAATCCTCTTCATACAAAGCCCAGAGAGGGGTAGCAGAGAGACTTGGAACCTAGGTGTGACCCTGTCTCCACAGCCGGGCTCCCCTTTTGCGTGGCTGCTGGTTTTATTGGCAGCGAGGGAGTTATTCGTGCGTGCAGATGAAACCCCAGAAGGGAGGCAGATGATACGCACTTTCTGTCCCTGCCTTTCACCAAACCTCACAAATGGTTCACTGAGTTTGACTTCAGTCTCCGCGGGGTGAACCCAGCAGCCCAGCACCCCTGGCCACAAAGAAGGAGGGGTCACGCTGAGGGAGAGAGGAATTTTCCGATGATATTAAGGACACTTGGGACTTCAGGGTCCCGCCTCCATCACCCTTGGCCAGAGGCCTCTCTTCCCTTTCAAGCAAATGGAAAAGCGAGGATCTTCGGGAGCAAATGCCTCCTGCCTTTCTGGTTTCAGACGTTGCACAATTTAGAGCTAGATTTGACCTTAAAGATCGGCTAGTCCAATCCCCTTATTTTACAGAGGGGAAAACTGAGGGACAGAAAGGGGTGTGCCCCAGGCTCACTGCTCTTGTGGCTTGGCCCCAGAGGTCTGGGCTCTTCTGTCTCTCCTCTCATTGCCCTTTTCTTCTGTCACAGTCTCTCCCCATCCCCTACCCACGCTTGCTCTCCGCTGGAAGTCAACCAAGAAGTATTTGTGGGTAGTGGTTGTGAGGTTCTCTCCTGACCTAGGGGTATTTGGGCGAAAAAGCCTTCCTGACCAGAGGAATGAATCTCCAATAATGGCAGAGGTAGTGTGGGCTTGGGCTTTGGAGGGAGAGGCTATGGGTTCAAATTTTTCATGGCTATCTTTAGATCTTGGGAAAGTGACTTTGATTCTTTGGATTTCAGTTTACCTATCTGTAAAAAATGAAGAGATTAGACCAGATGACCTCTTAGGTCCCTTCCAGTTCTAAACCCTTTGAGTTTCAGGAATCTTGACAGGCTCTGTTTATTAGAAAGACATTTTTTTTTTGATAGAGGGGGTAGCCTTCACATTTGATTATTGGGGTTTTGAGGCTCCCAAATCCGGGGCATCCTTAGATTCTCCTGGCCAGTGTTGGGAGATGAGCAAAGATCCTAAGCTCCACTCCTCTCCTCCCTTGACCAGTCCCCTCTGCCCCCACTGTCTTCATGCCTCCAGTGCCACATGGGGTGACCAGTAGGAGAAGTGAGAATGGGCAGCTGCCAGCGGGTGTACTGTCTGTCGTAGGTTTCCAACTGACAGATGTGGTTTGTGTTAAGATTTTAATCTGCCCTACTAGTTCCCTCTGCTCAGTCAAGTGGGAAGTTAGGGAGAGCAGGGGAGCTGGTCGGGGTGGTGCCTGGCAGGACGGCTTGTGTCTGTCTCCAGGGCTCCAGAACTCAGCTCTGGGCACAGGGGAATCTGGGACCCTGCCGGGGGAAGAGGGGGGAACTTCCCTAAGGGTGGTGAGAGGGAGAAAGGCTCTCTTGCAGGGAGGCCCCTTACTGTCCAGAGCTCTTGCCAGGGCATTCTTTCCACTTCTCCCCAGCACAGGAACACAGGAACCTCTAACCCTCATTGCCCCTGCTTTTCTCTCTCTCTCTCTCTCCTCTTTCTTCTCTCTCTCTCTCACATCTCTGTCTCACATCTTTCTCTCTCTCTTCTTTCATATTTTATCTCCTTTTCTTCCCTTTCTGTATCCCTCTTTCTCACTCTTCCCCTCCTCTTTGTTAACCCTCCTTTCAGCTCCCTCATTTGTAAAATGGACTAGAATTAGACAGCAGTTAATTTCATTTCAACAGAGACTGTCTCCTTTTTTGACTTTTGTCCAATGCAGAGACCTCCATCTCTCCCCTTTTTCCTGCTCCCTCCCTCCCCTGTGGCCTCACCTCAGCAGCAGCCCCACTGCAGCATGGCTGGAAATCGGCAAGTCACTGGGAGAGTGTGGTCAGGGCTCCCACCAATCCTGTACTTAGCAGCAGTGGTCTGCATTCTTCCACATTCACTTAAAAAGCACCAGAGAGGAGATCTCAGGAGCTCTTGCTCTGCTAAACCCTGAGGTGAAAAAAATTCATAGTGGAAACTTTCAGAACTGGGGGCCTGGAGAGTGGAAATCCTGGAGTCTGAGGGAGAGGCCATTGGACAAAGACCTTCTTTGTCTCCATCCCTGCGTACCTTCCAGTCCCCTTCCCCCCAACACTCCTCAAATTACA